TATATATATTATCCAAATTGTTGTGTAGGAAATTTGTAAAGAATATTTTATTGTGCCATTGAAAATATCTATGAAAACTATGTTTGATAGAGAAACATTAACTAGAAGGCTTCAGTAACATAAAAATTCTATAAAAATCGTTGAATAAAGAAATTTAAACTTGGATGCGAGTATGACGCAAATATATCAAACATGTGATTCATGTTGTGGTGTACTATCTAATGTAGTTGTCATCGTGTCTAATGTTGTATAGTTGTCATCTTGTATTCACATGCATGGTTGTATATATTGATAATGAAACATTCTAATATTCTACAATATGTGATAAATATGTACTTCCAAATCTAAAAACATAAATTGGTTTTCCAAAATCCCTTTGTTTCGTCAATTCGAGTTCGACACAAGATTACATAATGCACACGATCAGGGTGTACGTGATACGTCTACAGACGAACTAGAGAAGTTTATTGATTTTGTAATAATGTGTACAATTACATCAAGATCCCGTATTTGATTTCAACCCTAAAACTATCAAACATTCGATTTCAACTCTAGAAATACATATGGGCCGGGCTTGGTTGTCCAATCATACTCCACAACTATCCAATCTTTGGATCAAGAAGCTCAATAAGAAATCCAGTCCAGTTATTATAAGCTCAAACTTCGTTTTTTTTTTTTTTTTTGTAAAACTTTGAACCCCAAAACATTTATTCTCATAGAGTTAACACAAGTTCAAGTTATTATGAAATACCATATTACAAGCTAAAGAATGTCCCTTTACAAAAGGCGCACAATTACTTAAGCTACTACACATACATGGTGCTAATTTTGTTGCGTATAACATTTCTACCTATTTATTTATTGAATTCCAATCGTTGTCTTTGTCCTTTAAGATACAAAATCGCTTGATTCTTTCATGCCACGTGGCGGGTTAGTTTGCAGCAACAGGAGGAGCAGCACCAGTAGTCGGCCTAAAAAGAAGCCAAAAGTCAGATAAGATATGAATTTGAATCTTCCTTAAAAAATTAAGGTTTAGATTGATTGTGTTGCTTTTTAAGGAGAAACTGAAACTCACAGCCCAACGAAAACTTTGAAGGCGTCATAGATACCCCATTGTGTACCCGTAAGTGTTCCAATCATAAGAATACGAAGTGGTAGTCCACGAGTGAAGAGGCCCCACATGCCTAGCTTCTTCACAGCCTGCATGCATGCATATATCACAGCTTAATTTCACAGATCATGCAAACAGAGCAGAGGTAAATAATAGTAAAAACATTAAAGTTGAAATGATATAATACTGACATCTCCAACAGTAGCACCCTGTGAATTGTTGAGGAAAGAGACCAAATTGTCAGCTGGATGAGAAACCACAGCACAGAGTATACCAGCAGCATAACCACCAGCAAAGCTCACTCCAAGCTGAAAACTCTTGCTGCATTGCTCTTTTGGTGTAGGAATTGCGTACTTGTATGCCATCTCCACAATTGTCTCAAAAGATCCAAACTTCATCATTGTGTCTGAAAATCAATAAATATGCTACATTATGCTAATGCTTACAAAACATGTTTGGCATAGGTAAAAACTAGCTGATAAAATGGCGTAAAAGAGAATTTAAAAAATGGGTATTATAATTAATTATGAACTCACATGGAATTTGGCGTCCCAAAAGAGGAGTTAGCCCTTTGTATAGACTGTACACATAAAATATATATGACAAGTGAGAAAATCAATCCTTTCAACATATATGTGTTTCATAGCATTTTAAAGTTGGTTTGTAGAGTGGTTAATTCATACCCTGCAACACCTTCAGCCTTGATGATCTTTGGAAGACCATCAGATAGGCCCTTGGCAAATCCAGGCTGTGTTTGAACACGAACTTTAACAGCTTCAAAAGGGCAAAGGGCAACACAGGCAATAACTTCAGCTGATGCAGAACCAGCAAGGTAAATCAATGTTTTATACTTGGTTGCATACTCAGGGCCAGCAATGTCGGAGTAGGTTTTCTTGAAGTATTCGTAAAACCCAAACTTGCAAGCACCCTGTGCACTGTATCCAACTAGTGTTGGTGCCCAGCCCTTATAAAATCCTTTGATTCCTTGCTCCTTCAACAATACCCCGAATCCTGATGAAATGTTCTTGTACTTTGCTGGGTCAATCTGTAAATACACATTGAATTGTTAGGCTATAGACAAAATGACAATACCGATTACATATGCTGAACTCCATTCACGAATTGTTTGAAATTATTGGTCTCGTGTGAGTTTAACTCATTTCACAAACATTAGGAAATACAGAAGACTATCTAGCTCTATGTTTTCTGAAGCCACAGCTAAATTGAAGTCAAATCTAGACATCTACACTCTTTCACAAGTTAATCGCAAGGTTTTCAAACCTAATACCATAATATGAATGAAGAAACAAGAATAAAATTCACAGATCAATAAGCTCCACTACTAAATCATGATCAAATCACAACAGATCTTATTATATTGAGCCTTAAAAGTACACATACATCCAATCAAAAGAGAGAGGTGGAGAATGACCTGCATATTACATTTGACGACATCTAGCGGAGTGATGCCGGTGTGAGTGCTCCCACAACTCAAACTACCACCAACAGCACAGGCTGCGTAAGCCGCCGGCGAGAACATCTTAATCTTACCTGGCTCGCTCGGAGCCTGTACCACAAAACCTCTACTCGCAACATCCGGTGATTCAGAAAGCGAGGACAACAAAGTATCATAAGAACTTTGTTGATTTACCGCCAATTTCTCGAAGTCGAATCGATTTTTCAACGAATTGGAGTATAGATAGCTCGGAATCAAAGATTGTCTTGAACTATCCATTGATTCCGTCAATTGGTCGTAAATTTTTTCAATGTCGAGCTAAGGATTGAATGATCAATGATGATGAATGCAACTTGTAATTTTTTTGAAGGTGACTTGTTGCGCGGGATTTGAAGAGAAATGGTATATATATATAGGTCTTTCTAAAATAAAATAATATAAACTGAAAATATCAGCAATAGAAAACATATACTTTATTAAAGTAGAAGGAAAACACGTTTTTGCAACCTTCCATTAGACTGGGAACTTGGAATTTTATGCCTTCCGTAAGACATGATGAAAAAAGATTGCCACAAAGACCATTATTACAAATAAATGAATAATTTTAAATGATCAAATTCTTTTTGGGGGATTTTACTAAAATTGCCAGAATGTACAAAACAAACGGAAGGATGTCTAGAAGGAGAAGGAGGTAGATGGAAAACAGAGGAGACGTCGTTTGTATTTCAAACTGAGGGGTGGGGTTTGGGTGGGTGTTTTTTTTAACTAAAAAAATATTAAAACGGTATAAGAACTGTTTTATTGAATCAAAATAAAAACAGTTAACCACAAAGGATTACAAATATTTGGTAAAGGGTTTTAATAAGAAAATTAAACTTTATTTTTAAAAACTCCTCAAAATAAAATGAGTTAGAAATACAAAAGAATATCAATATTGACTGATGGTAGAACCTTCGAACTTTTCAAGCAAGCGTCAAAAATGACGTTCAAGGTATACACGTCACACATGACACATGCATCTAACCAAAACTGAATTTCTAAGAAACGTAGAACCAATAAAACCCCGTCCCTACTCGATTAATTAATATATTTTAGTCGTAACTCAACAAAGGTTTCGTGGTGTAGTTGGTTATCACGTCAGTCTAACACACTGAAGGTCTCCGGTTCGAACCCGGGCGAAGCCATTTTTTGCAAAAAAAAAAAAAAAAAAAAAGTAATAAAATTCCACCTTGTTTTGCAAATTGTGGATTTTGATGTATTATATAATCCAGCAAAAACTGTACGACGGGCCTGATAGTAAATTGGACTTGGGATTGGACCATACAATATTTTTAATAGCATATCAAGAATTAGCACAAAATTAGAATGACACAAATATCTACTGAATATTTAAGAGTTTTGTACCAAGGGGTGTTACTTTTAGAAAATATTTACCAATTAATAGTACCATGAATTTTAATTACGAAAATATGATAATTTTATATAAACCGAAAGTTTAATTCTTAATTTTATAAATATTGTTTATTTTATTCAAACAATACAACCCACACTATAGCTAATCCGTTTCCAACTCCATAACCTTACAACACCCTCATGAGTCATCAATCATCTCCCTCTTAAGAACATTAAAATTTACACCCTCTCCTGAGTTCATTAAAAAAAAAAAAAAGGAAGAACAAGGAGGGAAAAGAAAAGAAAGAGAACCGAAAGGATTAGTATTCCGTCCTCCCGAGTTCCAAAAAATGGAAAAAAAAAAAAAGTATTCATTTTAGGTGCTCTCAAGTTGAAAGTAAAAGAAAAGAAAATAATAAAAAGACAATTATACCCTTCATGTTATTAAGTAAATATTTTAAGTGTTTACAACCCTCACATCTATTCTAACCCCCCCCCCCCCCCCCCAATATTAATAATAATAATAACCAACTCTCCCCTCCTCCCCGTCTACTTAAAACATTGACAAAACAACTTTTTTTAAAAAGAAAAACCGCATGTTATTCACTTGTTTTCAAGATGCAAAACTTAAACCACAAACAACTTTTTAAAAAAATAATAATAAAAAAAAAAAAGCACAAGATCAATCCAGTATCAATCACCTAAGGTTATTCAATCACGTGCATCCATCATATCTTTGAGGACACTCATCCGTATCTGAAGGGGACAACTGAACAATGTCATAGCTTTTACTTGATTTGTTGCCAAAAAATTTAACGTCATCGGTAATTCATGAGGTTCCAAACCCACCAACTCCAATTCTCTATAAATTTCGTCCCCTGTATACTCCCGAGGATAAGCTCTATCAAATATTACATTACCCTCCTTGATAGTACCAGCCACATTATCAACCGATTTCATTATCTTTAAGTTAAAATCTTCTTCTTCTTCTTTTTCTTCAAATTTCCTCTTTTTACTCTTACACTTCTTTGCACCTGAAGACTACCCTTGTGAAAACGGAGTTGGAATAACACCCTGAATGTCATCATCAAGATCAACATATTCGTTCTCCAAATGAATTTCATTGTTAGCTAACAAGTCGTCAACTTCTTTAATTGTTTCAACTCGAATTTTTTCATTTTTATTTACTCGGTCATTTCTTTCTTTCGCCGTTTCAGCATGTGCACTAGATGCGCTATCCCTTGCAAATAATACCAACATATCATCGAAGTTTGCAATCTTTTTTGTCCTTAACAACGCAGCCTCAAGTTTTGACTGTTTAACAACATAAAAATAATTAATATTGCAAACGATAACATAAAATATTTAAAAAAAATAACATAGACATAAAAGAAACACTTAGATTTATTAAATTATCCCATACTTCTTCCTCCGCTTCTATTAGTTGAGTAGCTGAATTCCAAGAGAACTCGCTCAACGAAATTCCCCTAAACAAATCGTACCATTGCGAAAAATGTTTTTTTAAGGTTTTGTAGCGATTCTTTAAATGACTTTTGGTAATATCCATTTGATGCTCTGTGTTCAACTCCTCAACCATTTGAGCATATGCAGTTGGTGTGAAACTACCATTCACCCTATTGCATATCTCTTGTTGTTTAATCATTGCTTTGATGTACGCATAATCCAATTTAACTGACCATTTAACTTGTTCCTTTTGACTACCACTAGCTTCCTGTTGGCTCATGATGACTTTGCACATAGGAATAAAAATTAAAGAATCATACATTGTTAGACCATAATACGAAGCATAATACTAATGAAAAATATGAAGGGTAAAACACATAATTAATCTCAAAAACCAATCCTCAATAAAATGTGAAATTGAAAACAAAATGCATCAATATGATACTAGTTTTACATATTAATTTAATTGTTTGAATGCGCCAAATAATTTGCCCACATTTCATTTGCAATTGAATTCCTTAGTTGATCTGCCCTACTATTATCCTCATTTGTTTCTATTGAATTACGACGATCTTGCTCTTGTGGTCCGTTTAAGATCTCCTGCATCACCTCATCTTCAAGATTTATGTCGCGATATTCATCTAATAAAAAGTTGTGTAGATTACAACATGCCAAAAATATGGCAGATAGTGTTTCACGAGAGTAAAATGGTTCCGTTGTACTTCGAATGATAGGAAACCTTCTTTTAAGGACACCAAAAGCTCGTTCAATGGCGTTACGTAAGGAAGCATGACGAAGATTAAACAACTCTTTAGAATTTTGTGGACCACGCATGGAGTACTCTTTTAAATGATATCTAACACCTCTATATGGCGCCATTAGTTTATTCGTATGAGGCAAACCCCCATCTACTAAACAATATCTACCTATAAAGAGCTTAATCAATATTATTGAAAAATATTAGATATTGAAATTACATTGGTTTAATAAATTACCTGATGGAATTAGTAGTTTATCATTTCCAGTAAATGTGTTCTTTATTATTCTCGAGTCTGATACAGTACCCTCCCAACCCGTTAACACATACGTAAACTTCAAATCAAATGTACAAGCAGCTAATACATTTATTGTCAGGTATCCCTTACGACCACGGTATCTAGGGGTATCTCTGTTAGGCACATGGACACGAACATGTGTTCTATCTATTGCCCCTATACAATCCTTGAAAAAAGGATAAAATCTCCTACTTTCTTGAATTTCTCTCGGGACAACAACACCTGTAGGTTGCTGAATATAAAGACCTTCTATTGCTATAATCGATCGTAATACTCTATGGAAGCACCTACTCGTTGTTGATCTAGAGCGACGATACATCCACAAGGTAAAACGAGTTCGCAAATCATTACTTACAATATACAAAAATCTAGCAACATGTTCCTCAACGGACATGCGTTGCGTACGTCGTAGACCACCTACAGTTTGTAAGATTTCACACAATCTCCTAAAAGCATTTTCACTAATACGAATAAGGCTACGACATTGACCACCTTCTAAAAGATTGTGCAGCAACTCTTCCCGTACAACTTTTCTTTCTAAAATAACTTTTCTAGTGGCTAACCTAACCTGTTTTTGTTGGCCATATTACGTTGTGTAATAAAAGTCAACAACAAGCAAATCAAGTTAACGACTTGCAATTGTCGGGTTCTTAAAGCATGAGTAGGGTTGACTATCGGAGTATCCATAAGGACTATATATGAACTAATCCCTTTTTCTGATACATGATCAAATAATTTGAGTTAAATTTAAACAACATTGATAAAAATAACGTGTAATTATAAAGAGTTGATTTATTAATTATAATTAATAAACTTTTTTGTTATAAAATTTCAATTTAATCTAGGGGCAAAACAGTCATTCTGATTTATTGAATGTAGTACAGGGGCAAAACAGTCATTCTGGTTTATTGAATGTAATCCAGGGGTAAAACAGTCATTTTGATAAAAAAAATTAACATGTAATTAGCTTAAAAAAAGATAACATGTAATTAGCTTCAAAAAATAGTAATTATATAATTTACCAATAATTAATAAACTTTTTTTTGTTATAAAAGTTAAATGTAATCTAGGGGCAAAATAGTCATTCTAATTTATTGAATGTAGTTTAGGGGCAAAACATGATGGGTTTGAGCCATAAGAACTTTCCTATGTGCACATGCAAACCCTAATTGCTTGGATCTGGGTTTCTCTAATTGAACATGCATTATGTATCCAAGACTTTCATGGCTAGATCTAATGTAAACTACCAATCAAAAACATATGAAAACAGATCTAGAATCATACCTTGAATCACTTGTTTGATCCTTCTTGTTCTTGGAGCTTAGAGTCACAATTGTCACTCCTCTAATGGCTTACAAACGCAAACTAGCAAGAAGATGATTTGAGAGAGGTAAGGAAGAGGAAAATAGGCCCCAGGGTTACTCCAATAACAAAGGTTACTATTTCCACAACCCCAAGGGTCTATTTATACTGTGAGCTCCTAGGGTTTTACCCTAAAACCCTAATTGGATAACTTAGTCTCAAAGCAATCCAATAACCCTCCTAGATAAGCCTTGGACGATTTCTAGGTGATCCACTTCCCTACACTACAAGAAAAAGACCCTTTTACGACACACAAAACACGACGCTCTTTGATTTATGTTTCGCATTAGAGAGCGACATTAAAAAAGTGTCATCTCTTCAAAAAATTTAAGGATTTAGGTCGCGCATTACTGAGTGCCCTTAAATTAGTGTCTAATCCAAATAAAAAAAACACGGAGGGCACCTATAATAAAATGTGCGCCGTCTATAGATGTCGCTTTATAAATTTTAATGGAACGCGCGTTCCATCCCTTAATAACCAGGGGGGGAAATGAAATCCTAAAAAATTAAAAACCCCGCCTTCCTTTTTTTCTCCTTTCCCTCTTGCCCTAATTATCGACGCTCAAATGAAAAGGAAAGACTAGACGCAGAGTTGAAATTGAACGGAGAATACAGTCTACGATGCAAAGTTGAAAAGGAACGACTCAACAAAATCCATAATGTTGCGATAATGCTTCTAACTCTTAAGGAAAAAGATCCACGAAGAATCTTCAAATGCAAAGCTCTCATGAGGAGGATGAAACGGTATGGTTTGTTCGATGAACGTTCTTGCCCTAACTGTTGAAAAATTCATTCAACGTTGTCTTCTAATCCTCGTCTTCATTGAACAGACTATTTATCTTATCAAAAAATCAATGGGACCATTATCTAGGGCTTTTTTCAAGGAGTGCTCTATGAAACGTTCTCTACCTCGGCTCTCCTCACCTGTAAGCGACCTTAGCTCACCTCTTTCCATCGGAGACCTTAGGCTCACCTCACCTCACCGGAGACTGGAACGACGGCTCAAGTTTCCAAGCCCTAGGGCTGATTAAGGTATGTGTATCATGATCTCGACACACCTCAACAACACCACTACAACTCATTCTCAGTTGTTGACTTACTCTGCTGACCAATGTTCTCCATATCGACTAAATTACCTTTATACCCTTCTTCAGACCTCTTCCTACAATTGAAGCAATCTAAACCTTGTAGGCCAATCTAACAAGCTCCCGTTTTTATGCAGAGCTGATGATAAAGTTCCATTGGACATGTATTTGTATACCAGGAGTTCCTCTTCTTCAACTATGCAGTAACATAACAGAGGAGTTAGATTAGTTTCAATATATGTACCTAAGACTGTTTAGAGAATCAAGATCTAAGGAATATAACTCTTCAACCTGCATGCACAATCCATTTAATTCGGTTTGTGTTTTTTTATTTATAGACATTTATAACTAAAAATATTACCTGCACGCCTTTTACTTGCATTTGTTGTATAAGTTCGGTAAAACACCTATAAAAGAAGATGATGGTTTCGATTACAACTAACTAAATTTCAAAGCTTAAATTAATGGAACATATGCGTAATTTTGAGTATGAAACAAGTTCAGTCCATTATTTGAAAAATGTATAGATTAATATGGTTCAAACATGTCTCTAGGTTTTCAAGGATCAATTCTATTAAACAGCCTGCATTAATCTTGAAAGGCACATGCCTTGTTTATATGGAGAACAAGAATCCAAAAGAACAACATACCATGATCAGACTCAATGGTGCACCAAGACATGATGTCAAGTAGAATCTGACTTAAGGTTTAGAAGAATTTCATCATCATGACCTTTGCCAACAAGATTCTTGTCTATGGAAACAAATCAATAAACTTAGATTCTTGTCTATAGAAACAAATCAATAAAGAAATGGAAATGTTAGTAATTTTACTAGACGCTATCTTATTCTGCAGTTTTATTTTCAGGAGTTTTTAATTTTTTTATTTGCTAAATTTGCAGGATATTATTTCCATATCAGCATCTGATGTCATGTTTCTTTCATTGCCTTTCATAGTAAAATCGCAGGACAGGTATGAAACAGAGAAAATTTGAACTACAATGTAACTTGAGAATGGTCACACAGTTAATGTCAAATGCAATGAGTTATCTTGAGCTTGACTTAACTCTTTGGTCAATTGTTTGACTTTTGGTCTTTGGCATACACGGCATCGTTTTGGTTTGACATCTGGTTCACCTGAAGAAAATTCTTGACTTCTTGGCTCATTGAAGATCCGTTGACCGCTTATTAAGTCAAGATTCTGCAGACTTGGAAATTGGGTAGTTGACCACAAGTTATAATAAGATGGTCTAAATTGAGTACCTACCATCTGATCATGAAACCAATTACAATTCTAGTGTCAATATTATATTATTCTCAGAAAAAAATAAAATTCAAGTCAAGAAACAAGAAACATTGAATACCTTTGCATGAACCTCAAAAGCTTTTTTTGCACTTAAAATGACTAGTTATCCTAAAGATCCTGAAGGGGTTCAACTAGTGAAAGCATAGGAGAAAGAGAATATAATCGGAAGGTCCATGAAAAAGTTGAAAGGAAGCACCACAATAATAATAATGATAATAATAATAATAATAATAATAATAATAATAATAATAATAATAATAATAATAATAATAATAATAATAATAATAATAATAATTCGTTAACTCCTTTCCTCCTCACTCAAATGACAATATTACCCTCGGTGACTCATCATATTATGTTTTTATGAACAGGATGTATTGCAGGGTACCCAACTTTTAGCCATAGATGTTGCTGCAGCTACAGAATTGCTTAGAAGGGTACTTTTAGCCATAGATGTTGCTGCGCAGCTGCAAAAGATGCCTGTAATGGAAACAAGACTATTTTAAAAACTACTTCTGATGATATAAACTTGATCATATTATATCTTTTATCGATGTCAACACTGGACATCTGTTTTCTTTTCTTGCTGGCTTTCTCATGATTTGAATAAGTGTAAACACACTGAACACAACAACTGAAGCTGTCATTGAGAAGATTCTGGAAATTCAATGCAATAAGAGGCTGCAAGATACTATAAAGAATGGGGATATAGAATCCCTAAGTGTTTTAAAGAGTCAAATACCTGGGCTAGACTATGTTGTATTTGTGAAGGGTTCAAGCCCACATGATATTCAGTATGATTATCAGCAAGACAGACCTCCTAAGGAGATAATTGTCATATGTAAGTGTGCAGAGGCAGTTCTTCGAGGTGCTCAGGTAAGCAACAGTTGAAATTGTTATATTAATCATTTTGTCATCATCATCATCATCCTATTTCAAATGATCACACATTCTATCAATCATGTTTGTTTTTCATTCGGGCTTGTAATCTTATATTATGTTTCTTCTTTTATGAATGGTTAACATTCACTTGGTACCCAATTTCTCATTTTTATTCTTCTTGCAGTTGCGTTCTCTTTTCCTTTTTCTTGTCATCTTTCTCTTATTCTCGTTTGTGGGTTTATTGGTCTTTAGTGACTAAATAGTTAAAGGAGTATGTTATGACCATGAGAAATACTATTAGCTTTATTATTAATGTGCAACATGATTGATTAGGTACACTAGAAAGTGTTCATATTTTGATGTTTGATTGTGATATTTGTGTAGGTATATGTTCCAGGTATATTAGCACGCAATGCTCATGTTGAGAAAGGGGATTTAGTTGAAGTTTCAGTTGGTGTTGAACAGCCTAGTCGTGACAATGGATGGGCTATTGGAATCACACATGGCATTGTCCTACAAGGACTCAAAACAGGTCTCTCTCTCTCTCTCTCTCTCTCTCTCTCTCTCTCTTCATTCAACTTACTTACTTTTACTTCTCTATAAATAAATTATAACACTTGCTATATATCTATCGTAGATCCTCAATATCTTGCAAGAGATGGATTATATATTAGTCAAGGAACCACAACCATGTCAAGGGCAAGAATGTTTCATGGATTATTAGGTCTTGCTGTGGATATGACTGATAGAGTTTTTAAATTAACATCCTTTAATGGTATACATTTTTTATTTTTCTTTTACGGTTTTACCCTAAGTTCTTTTGAAATTCATTAATAAAAAATTACTACATACAAATGTGATGAAGGGGGACATATTTCTTCAAAACCTGTCAAGCATCATCACTGCACATGTCTTAGGTATGTCTACATATATACATCTTTGTTTTCTTCTTTCTGATTGTCAACGAGGGGTAATTCTGGCAATTCATATATTTATAGATCCACAAGAGGGAGAAAGAATATTGGACATGTGTGCTGCCCCTGGTGGAAAAACAACTGCAATTGCTTCCCTTATGAAAGATAAAGGAAAGGTTATTACAGTTGATAGGTCTGATGACATGGTAAAATCCTGTTACTACATTATATATCTTTTCATATATCCATATTTATTTCTTTTTAAAAAAAATAATTTATCCAGGTGCTTGAAATTCACAATCTAGCTGCAGAACTTATAATATATTAACCAACCTTAAGTGTGATAATATTATTAATATATTAAAAAAATAATTTATCCAGGTACTTGCTACATTTTGTGATAATATTCTTAAAAATGGTGGAAGTGAGAAATTGAATGATGAAGCCATTGAGGACACGCTTGAGAAGGTATGTTAAAATTTTGTTTGCTCAAAAGACGTAAATGCCCTCATCATCATCGAAAGTCTCCTGTGCAGCAAATGGTAAGCAGAAGTGATTGAGTTTTTGAACTAATTTGCAGGTAGTAAAGTTGCTTGCCTACATTAGTGATAAAGATCTGTTTGCTGAATTTTACAAGTAAACCTTTTTCTGATTCCCTGTCTAATGAAGTCATATGTTTGTTGATTTGTTTATTTTGTCTTTTTATAATATCTGACATGAAATTGACATTGTACTCTGGTTGTAGGAAAAAACTTGCTAGGAGGCCTTGTTTGTACTTTGTAAAATGTAGGATTGGGCACTTGAGCTGGAAGAAGTTTTCATAGGTTTGATAAGTTTGTTCCATATAAAAATACAATCAAGAACAAGATTCTCCTTTAGCATGGTATTGTAGGTTCAAACCTTTTCTGTTAAGTTATATCATTCATGCAAGATGAGAAGGGCATTACTGTCTTTTGCATGGATGTTAATGAAATCTATTGTTCTTAAATGGTTCTCGTTTGACAAACTATATTGGTATTTTAAGCCAAGGATTGCGAATAGCTCCCCCTAAAGCTCCTGCAACCGGCTACATGCATACCATTTTGATGGTTCAACTCTACATGCTCGAGAATGAAGATAGGAAAACGTTGTAACCCCATATCCGAATATATTCTAATGTTGTTGGCACACAGAGAGTTGTTGGCACATAGTAAGCTAGATTATGCAATTGTATATAAATGAGTTCATTTTTTAATAACATTTACTCACTATTAGAATAATTATTTGTACTTGACATATTAGTGAAATGAATTATCTTTGTTATTTATGGTATTTTATTTTGTATTATGAGATTTTTAATGTATTATTTAATTTGAAAATTAGTAAATCTATAAATAATATTTTTTTTAAACATTTAAAATTATGATACGCAAAAATGTGTGTCATCTTCATTTATGACATGGCCTTTCTTGACAGGGGCTTTCTTGATACGCATTGCGTGTCATTAACACGCGCGTCGTAAGGTTACGACACGCGAATGCGTGTTGTCTTCCTTTATGACAGGGCCTTCCTTGATACGCATTGCGTGTCGTATATGTGCGTCGTAAATGAGCATCGTAAATGCGCGTCATCTAGAGACGACGCGCAAAAGCGCGTCGTCTCTCTTTATGACAGGGCCTTCCTTGACGCGCATTTGCGCGTCGTCTGAGCCTTTTACGACGCGCAATGAGCGTCGTAAAAGGCTGTTTTTCTAGTAGTGCTAAAATCGTCCAACCCATATCCATAAGGATTCTTAGCTCAAAATACAACTATCACACATTTGACAGTTTATACCCCTTTCTTTATTTAATCTCTTTAAGTCACCAAATTAATTCCTAATTAATTTATGACTTATATTAATCAAATTAATATTATTATTCTTTTAACATATGATTCTTATAATACATTAATAATATCTCTTCTCTCTATATAAATCACCCTGTCAAGTTTCTATGGTGAAGGCAACCCAAAAGGACCATGCACAATCGGGTCAAATACTTACCAAATATAGTTATAGCCTTAGACACTAATCCAACAGTCTCCCACTTGGGTAAGTCTAGTAACTATAAACGCAAACACAATCCAATCTGCAATCATAGCTCTCAAAGACGCTGTCAACTCTGATCTTATCAGTAACCTATCCTTTAGATAAGGGATCGTATAGTCCTTTGTTTTGATATCGTGCATACGATTTCATGAAACATTGTCATACTTATTGTCCAACAACTATTTTCTCAATCTCAGATTTATTTGACATAGAACTTAATTGAACACATCAATTTAGTCCTGACCGGGCCCGGCACATAAGTCAAATCAAATCATCGAGTGGCCGTGATATCGCTTTTAACCTCTTAGGATAAAAGTAACAGATAAACTTCGACTTATATGCATCTACTTATCGACTAATCAACTATACACAACAATGCGTTTTATGACATCAATTTACTGATGCGGTTTTGCATTATCAATGTACAACCAATTAATAAATAATAAACCATATATCTAGATTTCAAGACCATATAATATTATCATCTTGCAATCACCCCAAAGTGATTCCAGCAAGCGCGGGTTTATTGCAATGCTCAAAACTTGTTCATAAGCACTCATGAACGTTGCAGCAAACCTTTGCTATGTCCAATACCATTTAGACAATCTACACACCAATTCATGACAATCTTCATTCGTACCTACTTCCAACATATGAATGATTGTGGACCATTCGAATAACTTGATTATTCTTAATAACTTAATTATTCAGGAAGTCAAAACATGCAAAGTGAAAAAATAGCTAAACAATTAACATAAGATAGTAACTTTACTTGTAAACAATACTCTTTTATTTAATCATCAAATGTCAATTACATTTACCTATTACATGTTTCTAAAACTATCTAATATAAACTATCATCATCCTTCAGCCCAATACTCCTAGCATGCTGCAAGTGCTTAACCCTGCTCAGTCCCTTCGTAAGCGGATCTGCCGGGTTATCTTTTGATGATATCCTCTTAACTACGATGTGTGCTTCTTCTACTCGATGTCTAATAAAGTGAGATTTTCTGTCGATATGCCGAGATTTACCATGATCCCTCAGTTCCTTGGTCAAGGCAACCGCTCCTTCATTATCACAAAAAATTTCCATGGGTTCCTTTATAGTAGGCACAACGCCAAGATCGCCAATGAAGTTCTTCAGCCATATTGCTTCTTTTGACGCTTCGCTCGCTGCAATGTACTCTGAATCGCACATTGAATCAGCTACAATTTCATGTTTGGAACTTTTCCAAGTTATCGCTCCTCCATTAAGGGTAAATACCCATCCTGACTGCGAACGGTAGTTGTCCCTATCGGTCTGGAAACTGGCATCACTATACCCTCACACCTTTAAGTCATCACTCCCTCCGAGGACTAGAAACCATTCCTTGGTCCTCCGAAGGTACTTAAGGATGTTCTTGACCGCAATCCAATGCGCTCTTCCTGGATTCCCTTGATATCTACTGACCATGCTCAAAGCAAAGGCCACATTAGGGCGAGTACAAGTCATAGCATACATGATTGAGCCAACTGCGGAAGCATAAGGTACTCGGCTCATCTCGGCTTCGGTACTTGGACTTTGAGTCTTACTTAACTTTGTATTACTTTGTATCGGTAGTTCTCCCTTCTTCGAGTTTTCCATACTAAAACGTTTCAGTACTTTATCTAAGTAAGTATTCTGACTAAGTCCTATTAGCCTCTTACTTATTTCTCTCACTATCCTTATTCCCAATATATAGGAAGACTCTACGAGGTCCTTCATAACGAAGCACTTCCCGAGCCAGGACTTTACCTCCTCCAGAGTCGGGATGTCGTTTCCTATGAGCAGTATGTCATCGACATTCAAAAAGAGAAAGCTAACTATGCTCCCACTGGCTTTGACATATACACATGATTCATCTTCGCTTCGTACAAGTCCAAACTCTTTGACTTTCTCATCAAAGCAAAGATTCCATCTGTGAGATGCTTGCTTAAGTCCATAAATGGACTTCTCAAGCTTGTACACTCTATTGGGATGCTTCGAATCGACAAAACCCTCTGGCTGAGCCATGTAAACATCCTCAGCCAACTTCCCATTAAAGAAAGCGGTTTTGACATCCATTTGCCATATCTCATAATCATGAATTGCGGCAATGGCCAGCATCACCCTAATAGATTTTATCTTAGCAACTGGTGAGAAGGTCTCATCATAGTCAACTTCGGGAGTTTGAGTAAAGCCCTTTGCGACTAGTCGTGCCTTATACGTTTGTACATTCCCATCCACGTCGGTCTTCTTCTTGAAGATCCATTTGCACCCAACCGTCTTACGTCCGGGCACATTGTCAACCAAATTCCAAACTTGGTTGTCATAGATGGATTGAATCTCGCTATCTATTGCCTCTTTCCATTTAGCAGACTCCGGGCCTGCCATGGCTTCCTTATAGTTGTTAGGTTTATCTAGGTTTACTAATGTACTGTCACTAATATACGTGTCCCCTTCGGTAGTAATATGAAATCCATATAAATGGGGTTGAACTCTAACTCTTTGGGAATGTCTAAGAGGTAAGGATTGGTCAATCGGTTCAACCGGAGTTTCCTCCTCGGGTTGAGCGCCAGCGGTAGAGGTTCCTTCATCACTTGATTCTTGAATCTCTTCAAGATCGATCTTCCTCCCACTGTCTCCTTGGTTTATGAGTTCTCGTTCTCGGAAAACCCCTCTCCTTGCTACGAAGACTACGTTATCACTCGGTCTGTAGAAGAGATATCCAAAGGATTTCTACGGGTAGCCAATGAAAATACATCGCTCACTTCGAGGTTCGAGCTTTTCGTGAGTCTCTCATCTTACGAAAACTTCACAACCCCAAACCTTGATGTGTGCTAACGAGGGAGCTTTCCCTATCCACATCTCTTGAGGTGTTTTGGCAACCGTCTTTGTAGGGACTCGGTTAAGGAGATGGGTGGCAGTCTCTAAGGCATACCCCCAAAATGAGATAGGTAGTGAAGCATGACTCATCATAGAATGAACCATGTCTAACAAGGTTCGATTGTGCCTTTCTGCCACACCATTCAACTGCGGTGTCCTAGGTGGCGTCAATTGCAAAACTATTCTGCATTCCTTGAGAGAGTCGTGGAGTTCAAGACTTAGGTACTCTCCTCCTCGATCGGATCGAAGCATCTTGATTTTCCTGCCCAATTGATTCTCCACTTCATGTTTGAATTCTTTGAACTTTTCAAACGTTTCTGACTTGTGCTTGACTAAATATATATACCCATATCTACTATAATCATCAGTAAAAGTCACATAGAAGCAGTTCCCATCCTTTGTGGTAGATCTAAAGGGCCCACATACATCGGTATGTATGAGATCCAATAAACCCTCACCCCTCTCACAAGTTCCATAGAAGGGTGACCTGGTCATCTTTCCAAGTAAACAAGATTCACACGTGTCATCTTCCCTAAGTTCGAATGACTCCAACACTCCATGCTTTTGGAGTTGGGCTATGCGCTTCTTGTTGACATGTCCAAGATGACAATGCCACAAAGATGCTTTATCCATACTATTGGAAGAATCTATACACAACACATCATTTCCTAGGTTATCTACAACCATAACAGTTTCATAAATTCCATTACAAGGCATTGCTTCAAAGTATAAAACACCATTTAGATAAGCATAAATAGAACCATTCATATTATTAAATGAATATCTAAATCCTTGTCTAAACAAACCATGAAATGAAATGATGTTTCTTGCCATATCTGGAGAGTAGCAACAATTATTTAAATCTAAAACTAATCCATTGCTAAGCGCTAAAGAATACACTTCAATTTTGGTGACAGGCGACGATCTTCTGTTTCCCATGATTAGATTTATTTTTCCTCACTCCACATCTCTATCTCTTCTTAGTCCCTGCAAATCAGAACAAATGTGGTAAC